GCAGACGTCAACAGGCCAATGACGTCAACAGGCCAAAACTAGCAGACGTCATCAGGCCAAAACTAGCAGTCGTCAACAGGCCAAAACTAGCAGTCGTCAACAGGCCAAAACTAGCAGACGTCAACAGGCCAATGACGTCAACAGGCCAAAACTAGCAGACGTCAACAGCCCAAAACTAGCAGTCGTCAACAGGCCAAAACTAGCAGACGTCAACAGGCCAATGACGTCAACAGGCCAAAACTAGCAGACGTCAACAGCCCAAAACTAGCAGTCGTCAACAGGCCAAAACTAGCAGACGTCAACAGGCCAAAACTAGCAGACGTCAACAGGCCAAAACTAGCAGACGTCAACAGGCCAAAACTAGCAGACGTCAACAGCCCAAAGCCAGCAGACGTCAACAGGTTAAAACTAGCAGACGCCAACAGGCCAAAACTAGCAGACGTCACCAGCCCAAAACCAGCAGACGTCAGCAGGCCAAAACTAGCAGACGTCAACAGCCCAAAACAAGCAGACGTCAACAGGCCAAAACTAGGAGACGTCAACAGGCCAAAACTAGCAGACGTCAACAGGCACTTACGCTTGCAAGGCTTTCTACCGCTGAATCAAGGTCTTAAACTTCAATCCAATGTTGACGGATTCACTAAATACCCCCCCCCCCCCCACACCATCTCTTATGGACATCAAATATGTTATAACCAATAACCGTCTCTGTCAAGTCAACACGCGCTGCAAGTACTCACGGACTCCATCACGTGACTTTAACCCAAGTTCCAGTAAACAGACACGTCCGCCATTTTGTTTTTTACCGATTTGCTGTCTAGCCAATCATGTTCCTTAAAAAATACCCCCCTCCACCCTCCACTCCACCCACCCAAGATGAGTGCTATAATCATATTGCTATTTCAACACAATTGTAAAAGTTGTTGGCAAAGACACTAGACAACTTCATTTCATCACCCTTCCAGGAAGCGAACTAAACTAAATTTCGAGAAAAAAAAATAATACCCCCCTATTGTAAAATTTCCAAAACTTTGTCAACAAGTTATAAACAAAGCGCCGATTGGCATGAGTTATAAACATGCTGTTATTGTTATTTATGATTCAGTTGACTTGCAGGCTCCAGGGCTTGGGGCTAGGCAGCCCACGCTAATTGATGGGCTGGGAGAGGATGGGTTAACGTCAACAAAGAGAGAGGCTGGAGTTACGTCAAAATCTGAGTTTAGGATTGTATGGAGTAACATTTTATCATATTCTACTTTGTAAATATTTAAATCATGTTTTAGTTTATTTTCATCAAATACATTCGTGTGTAGAAGTCACGTAAACAGAAAAAATCTACTTCATCTGCCTTTTTTACTTTTTTTAAACTCTCGGTACAGAAACTATATTTTTATTATTATTTCTTACTTATTATTTCAGAAAAAGTTTTTTTTTAATCAAAAAAGACATCTGTACCAAAATATTACGTTGTTTAAACTTCAACAGCATTCGTAAAACGTAAAAATAAAAGTTTTCTTCGTGCATCCAGAAATCTCCCGATCCTGTCTGGGCGAAATATTGCTCAACCCTAAAAAAAATTAAGTTGCTAAATATCATTTTTTAGAAAAATTCTCCAACCGAACTTAGGTTCCTTGAGTCAACAATTTGACGTAAAATGTCTTTCCCTATAAACTTAACACCAGTTCTTTTGGGTGGACTAGCTGTTTGTTTCTCTCAGTTGATGAATGCTTTTGAGAACCGGACGCGAAGTCCACTCCTGGTCGAGGTCAATTATGAGTCTATGACGGGGCGCTAAAAAGTGCACTCAAATTACCAACGAGAGCTCTTACAGGGAGACAACCTAAGCCCATCAGGAGACTATGTCTTTTCTATGTAAGGGGAAACAAATTGTGTGTCCATATTTTTTTTCTTCTATTATTAGAGACACGGCGAACCACCATTGGTTTCCAGTAAACCGAACTGATTAGCGCCCTTTATCAAAGGCGAGTTCGTGGATTGTGTGACGGCGGCCGTGCAGGGGAGAGAACTGGGTTAAAGAACTGACGACGTAGGGGGAGACAATTTCCGTGTTGGTTGTCTCGGCTAGACGGAAAATGCCACGGACTTTATTAAAGGAGGGTTTTAGTATAGAACATTCACCATAGAACATTCACCATAGAACATTCACTATAGAACATTCAGTATAGAACATTCAGTATAGAACATTCACTATAGAACATTCACCATAGAACATTCACCATAGAACATTCACTATAGAACATTCAGTATAGAACATTCACCATAGAACATTCACCATAGAACATTCACCATAGAACATTCACTATAGAACATTCACCATAGAACATTCACTATTTGTAGAATATTCAAACCTGCATTCTTTATAGTTATAAAAATCGAAAACAGAACTTCATCCTCAAACATTGCTCTATACATAATACAGGGGATCTCTTCCAATAATAAAATTAAGAACGAAGAAGAAGTAGCTCTATCTCTAAGCCAAAATTTAAACCAATTCCTAAACCACAAACCCTGTTCTATATGTAAGCCAAGATTTTTTTAAAATAATTAAACTATAACCCTGTCTCTAAACCTAATCTTTTTCATGGTCCAAACATCTAATCCTAAGTTAAGAATTATTGTGTTGTTATAGAGCAGTGGTTCCCAACCTTTTTCGAGTGGCGACCCCCTTTTATAAAAGGTAAGTGACCCGCGACCCCCATAGAATTAAAAAGCCCAAATAAGTATGGAAATTAATAAGCACTAAAATAAGATTTTCTAGTAGACTTTCAATATGAACTACTCTTGATAACTATTTTAATAGCATGAGTAAAATTGCATACTATTCACTAAACCTTCGTGGTTAAGTTTTTAATTTAAAAAAATGTTGTTAACGCCAAACTATGTCATTATAATTATCTTAATTTTGTTTTTAATCGAAGAATAGTGTTGAAAATATATTCTTGAAAAGTCAATCAATTTTACTTTTGGGTATGAATGGTGAATACTACACCAAAATTGTGTGTGCAGTTTTTCATCTTACTCGGAATCATTCTGCAAATCAAAGAATTCATCTTGTAATTCATCAGGAATGCTGGCAACATCAAGGGAAGTAGAGAATGGGTAATGCGTAAATGCAGATTCTTCTTTTTTCAGCTCAGAGAAATAGCGATGCAGTTCGTTTTCAAGAGATTCAATATGCCCAGAAATCGCTTCTTTCAAAATTGTAATTATCTCACAATCAGATTCATCTACCACACCGCAGAGTTTCTCAAATTTACAATATTTCCAAGATTTATTTTCTTTACCGATTTTGCAGCTTTGATAAAAATGCCCCGAGATTATCATGGAAAGTTATAATATTCGTTCATTTTCCTTGAAGCTTCAGGTTAAGCTTATCTTGTTCGAACTCTATGTCGTTTTAAGTATACCAAAAAGTCTGGTTTCCTTTGCACTTCAAAGAACAATTTGATTTCAGATTTCAATCTAAAAATCACAATTTACAACATTTCGTTTGACAGCCAACGTACTGTAGTGTAGAAGAGCAGAACCTCGTGATCTATATTAATGTTTTTGCTCAGTTCTTTGAAGGCTCCGTATTTTATATAATTTACGACTTATACTAGCAATGGACTCTTAATATCGATTGGTTAGGGCAGTGGTTAGGGAGCTAAATCTTTTCTGTTTTCTGAAAGCCCGATTTTGAGCTAAACATAGATAGCGCACCATCTGTACAACCCCATTTTAATCATCAAGTTTCAAAAAGGGTATTTATTTTCTCTATTCACTCTTCATTGCTATCATCCGCATGAATATAGACACAGACCAGCAACTGCGAACACGAACTCACGTTTGATGATTTATCAACTTGAAAAGCAAACAATGGTGAAAGCTTAATTTCAATAAAAAAGTGTTATTTAACATTTACGTACATGAAGCGTTTGATGAGATTTTCTCCTATTGTTTTTTTTTTTTTTTTTTGCTTGGCATTTTATATTGCGACTTCATTTGATGCTTGCACTAATGCTGGTGAAAACTTCCTGTTCGATCAAGTCTCTGGCGTTTGCAACTAGCTTCTTACCGACGAATGAACTCCATATATTTTTCGGTGTGTTCCGAAGGACACGTCTCAAATGGCGTTTTAGTTTTGAAGATTTTATAGATTCGTGACTGAGAACAACTTTGTACAGTGCGCTTTGTTTCTTCTCTATTACATTTCCAGTGATGTTAATGAAGCCGAATTTCAAAAATTCTTCTAAATATTTATGTTTTGTTTCAAATTACTAAGGTTTAGTATACCAGTTGGCGACCCCCCAGAAAGACCTTCGCGACCCCCTGGGGGGTCGCGACCCCCAGGTTGGGAACCCGTGTTATAGAGGGTACCCACAAAACAAATATGCGGGTTCAATTGAAAAATATTTATAACATGTTAGTTATTTTACAAAAATATCAATACTACACAACAATAACAAAAACTAGTATGTTTTGGTTAAAGATTTAAACACCTTTTTTTACAATTTAAACTACAGTGATATAGCTGTACTAAAACACTCTGTGTATGAAATGACTTTCCGACCAACCAACTGCATGATCTAGATCAGTGGTGTAGTCAGAAATTGGTCATGGGAGGTGTTCAAACATTTTTCCACATGTATACAAACCTATATATATATATATATATATATATATATATATATATATATATATATATATATATATATATATATATATATATATATATATATATATATATATATATATATACGGGTCCATGGTCCATAGGGGTCCATGGGAGGGGTTATAACCCCCCCCCCCCTAAACCTCCCACCCCTTGCCTACGCCACTGATCTAGATCAACAAACAACACCGACAACCAATGCCGACAGCTGCACAAAAACCAAGCGAGTTTATCAATAACACACGTCACTTCAACACGTCAGATGACGCCACTTCCGGTTGCGCAGACGTTAAAAAAAAATTTGAAAAAAAAATTCAAGAGTTACCTGTCCTATCTTGTGGACCCCGGTCATCATGTCCTTGTGCAGCACGTGAAAGACGAACACGTGACCCAGCAGTTTGGGGTTTTCCCGGTTGACCTCGAACACGACCTGATGGTGCCAGACGGGGTCCTGCGTGTTCTGTCTGACCTTGCACTTGTTCTTGCCCTCCCGGATACCGTTGACGTACATCTCGACCTTCACGTACGGATCTGAGGGACAGATTTTAGTGGGGGCTTTAAAAGGTAAATTCTTAACGTTGACGTACGTGTCTAAGGGACAGATTATAGTGTGGGTTTTAAAGGTAAATTCTCAACATTTAAATACGGGTCTGTGGGACAGATTTTAGTGGGGGGTTTTTTAAGGTATATGTGTTGTTAATTATTTTGTTGTTGTTGTGTATCAGTGTGGTCGAGTAGTAGAGCGCATGAGGGCTATCCTACAAATGTTGATTACGTTTCTTGCTATCCTACAAATGTTGATTACGTTTCTTGCTATCCTACAAATGTTGGTTCCGTTTCTTGCTATCCTACAGCGGTTTCCAGATCAAGTCTGTATGCCGGTTATATAATTTATTTAATTATTTTATTAATAATTAATGGTCTTTAGAGCCAGATTTACAATTTGAGGAAATCAAACTTATAGGCATCGTACTAACAATACATTCCATATTGTCCTATAAAGTCTACTTCGTCTACGTGTGTTCACCACACGTTCAAACGCACGTGTTACTTCAACGGTGCTAGGAAACTTTAAACATAAGCAGATGTTACATCGTTCACAGATAATCTTTAGTATCTCTCTAAGATACTTTTATCACGTGATAAGCTGATCTACTTTGTTGCAACCGCTAACAACATCATGGGACGTGGATAGAGCGTTAGACTTCTAACCCGAAAGTCTCAAGTTTGAATCCGGGTTTAAGTCAGTCGAACGTCCTTGAGTCCACCCAGCTCTGATGGGTACCTATCCTTATGGAAAGTAAAGGCGTCTGTGCATAGTGCTGACCACATTTCCCATTAACTTGCTGAGGTCAAGAAAAATACGAACTCTATTTCATCTAATTGATCGCTAGGTCTAAAAGAGGAATCTTCCATTTTCTTTTATTTTACTAACACCATAAAAACCCGAACGTTCAATAAAAATAAAATGGCGGAGAAAAGAATTCGCATTATAATTAATTTAATAATCTCCATATTATATTACATTATCAGAACTTAAAACAAAATATCAAAATTATTAAAATGTTACATTTTATGTACTGTGTTCAATCGCGTTTTATCTCACTAAATCAATTAAAAACCCCATTTGTAAACTTATTACCTGCAAAACAAAATATACTCGTTCTAATAATAACTATCTACTTTAGTGGGAGCACATATGAAGCATAAATTATAATGCTAGCCTAATCACAAGAACACTTCGCTAAAGTAGATGTAGGTATGGTATGGCCGCAAAGTGGGCTTAAATCGCTATCTTTTGGGAGAAAATTAAACGACATCCGTTCGGACAAGGACACTTAAGGACCAGGACATTTAAGGACCAGGACAAAGGACTTAAGGGCCAGGACAAAGGACTTAAGGACCAGGACAAAGGACTTAAGGACCAGGACAAAGGACTTAAGGACCAGGACAAAGGACTTAAGGACCAGGACAAAGGACTTAAGGACCAGGACAAAGTACTTAAGGACCAGGACAAAGTACTTAAGGACCAGGACAAAGTACTTAAGGACCAGGACAAAGTACTTAAGGACCAGGACAAAGTACTTAAGGACCAGGACAAAGTACTTAAGGACCAGGACAAAGGACTTAAGGACCAGGACAAATGACTTAAGGACCAGGACAAATTACTTAAGGACCAGGACAAGGACTTAAGGACCAGGACAAGGACTTAAGGACCAGGACAAAAGACTTAAGGACCAGGACAAAGGACTTAAGGACCAGGACAAAGGACTTAAGGACCAGGACCAAGGACTTAAGGACCAGGACAAAGGACTTAAGGACCAGGACAAAGGACTTAAAGACCAGGACAAAAGACTTAAGGACCAGGACAAAGGACTTAAGGACCAGGACAAAGGACTTAAGGACCAGGACCAAGGACTTACTGATTGCCCCCAACAGGGTCATTTAAGGACCAGGACCAAGGACTTAAGGACCAGGACAAAGGACCTAAGGACCAGGACAAAGGACAAGGACCAGGACCAAGGACTTACTGATTGCCCCCAGCAGGGATACACGGGGTAGGTTCCTCGCTTCCAGAATGTTGAAGACGATTTTCCCCGCCACGGGCTGGTAACATCCGGATATCCTCAGGTCACCCTGGTGCATCTGGGGACATCAAAGACGGGCGTTTAGAGGGGGTCTGTAGGGGGGGTGGTGGGGTCATTTATGTCGGGGGGGGGGTCATAATTCTGTTGAGGGTTAGGTTATTTGTTATGGGCTGGTTGGTGAGTTTGTTGATTGTGGTGTGAGGTCATTTATTGTTAGGGTGGGGTCATTTATTGTGTGGGTGAGGTAATTGGTTGTGGTGGTGATGTCATTTGTTGTGGTGGTGAGGTCATTGGTTGTGGTGGTGATGTCATTTGTTGTGGTGGTGAGGTCATTGGTTGTGGTGGTGATGTCATTTGAAGAGGATGATTGGTGAGATAAATTTTTGTGGGGCGAAGTCATTTATTGTCGGGGTGAGGTCATTGTTGTGGTTTGGCTGGTGGTATCATTATTGTGGGCTATTTGGTTATGCCATTTTCTAAATCTTAAGCATACAAGGGAGATACAGTGGCGTAGCGAGGTCGCGTGTGACCCGGTGCGGCAATTAATTGTCACCCCCTCAGAGGCGTAGCGACTCTTCCCAGGGACAAACTTTCAATTTTCGATTTGCACCCCCTCTCGAACTTGCGATTTGCAACCCCCCCCCCCTCGAACTTTCGATTTGCACCCCCCCCCCCCCTTAAATTTCTCTATGTATTTTACTATTTTTTGCTTTGGTGTCACCCCCCTAAATGGTGTCCCCCGGTGCGGTCCGCACCCCCCGCCCCCCTTGCTACGCCTCTGGGGAGATATGAAAGTCAACCATCTATGTAAGGGAAGTCAAAATAGTGAATTCATATCCAAGACGCAATAGTATTTCTCTACTCAACACTAACATATATCTTTTAAACTGAATATTAGAAGAGAGGTTTAGGTACTGAAATTTTTGAACACCAAAATATTTGCTTTTTGTTGGATTTAAAAAAAAAAATAGGTAGAGGTAGCCTAATTGACTTTTAAAACATGTTGTGCGATTTCATAGAAATAATACAGTCAGCCATTGTCAACGGATGGGACGGAGTGGTCTAGCGGTAGAGAGCTGGACTGCTAATCCGTAAGTCTCGAGTGCGAATCCGGGTTCAAGTCAGTAGATCGTCCCTGAGTACCTAACTCACGTTAGGGAAAGTAAAGGCGGCTGGGCATAGTGTTGACCACACTATCTCTTCATATGCCGAGGTCACAGAAACAAGTGAACTCTACTTCACCTTCCCCATAGACCGTCAGGTTTGAAAGGGAAATTTACTTTGCTTACATTGTCAACAGGCTGCAGATAGAATCTAGTACTTCGAGATTTTTATCGTTTTAAAGGCTTTGCAGTCAGTATTTCTTTAGTACGGATTCCTGCTATACTCATGTCTATAAGCATTACACAGTTATTAGATTGGTTTATTATTAGAAAGTTGTTTACCATATCGTAAACAAAAACACACCTACACCACCCCCCCCCCCCCCTAATTACCCGCTCGTCTGCCAGCCGTCTTGAAGGTCACCAGATGTTTTTTTTTCCCTTCTGGTCAGAGATGAATCAAAACTCGCTTTGTCATTGGTTGAAAAATGTCACGTGGATTAGCGTTGTCTTTTCTTTTTTTTTTTAAATATGTGACGTAGGCTGGGTCGGATGAAACAGATTCTTTGACGTCACTGTCCGTGCTCTGATATTTCCATCTCGTTAATGAGCGATATGGTTTTAACTAATTAAAAGATTATGTTCTTGACGCAAGGTTTTTTTTTAATAATTTAAAGATGATTTAGTGTCGGTGAGTTTAAATTTTGTGAAAGATTATTAAAATATTTTAAAACTCAGAATGTCGGCCAATATCGATCAGACGAATGGGCCTAGTGACGTAGCTTGAAGGACAACAACAACACTATCTTAAGCCTCTGGGATTAGGTTAAACCGTGGGGTTGGGTTAAACCTTTGGGGGTTAACCTTGAGGTTTGGATTAGCGCTAGATTTAAGGTGAGGGTCAGGGTTAGAGTGACATGAGGTCTAGTTGGAGAAGAGGTGTTTTTTTAAAAAGTAAAGTACCCTTTCGAGCCTCGCAGTTCCTTTGGGCAGGTGAAGTAGAGTTCACCTGTTTCAGTGACCTAGGCATAAAGGAGAATAGTGTATTCAGCACTATGCCCAGCAGCCGTCACTTTTCCCCATCGAAGCTGGGTGGACTCAGGAACATCCTACAGAATCGTGCCCTGGATCCGAACTCGACACTTTCGAATTAGCAAGCGTGCGCTCTACCATCCGACCACGCTGTCATTTTGTTTTGAAACCCAACATTACAAATATGGCCGTACTTTACTAACGGGCGGTAATCTATTTTCCTTACATAAATTACATGTAATTTTTTTTGGTAACGTTTCATCTAGATAAATAAATTTTAAATGAAAATTTGAAAAAAAAAATAACATGCAATAGCAATTCTTGGATATTTTTGCACTTAGAAAACTCATCATTTACAGATATAAGCTATTTAAAAATAAATCAATATTTTTAGCAAATTTGTTTTAATTTTTGTAAACTTTAATCGCCTTCATAAATTAAACCTGACTGTAAACAACATGACGACCGGAGAGAAATAGGACAGGGAAATAACTCTTGTCATACCAGCAAAAAAAATAATCTGCAAAAATTATTTTTAAAATCTAGTTAGCAGTACCTTGGGAAAGTTGACGAAAATCGTTTACAAAATTTTATAATGGTTTAGAGCATGTAAATATTTAACAAGTTTAATTTTTTTTTTTTTTTTTTTATTAAACCATCATCCTCCCATCCTTAAAAAAATCGGAAGTTTTTTTTTTGGGAAGCTTTGGTTTCAATTTAACAAGTCTTAGATGCCTCGGCCTAGTTATAGGATGGTGAGGTTTGGAATGGCTGGAAATGTGAAATAACAAGGAGAGTTGATAAAGTAAGGATAAATCTAACAATGAAATGGATAGATCTATCACTCAAACGGGGAATGATAATTCTCACATAAGTAAGGATAAATCTAACTTAAGGAAGGATACAAATCTAGCGTAAAGAAGGATAAATCGAACATAAGGTAGGATAAATCTAACATAGTGGGGGGGGGGGGGGGGGAACCTTCAATTTGATGTGTCAATGAGAAGTGGGGAGCCCGGTAACAATTAATTGGGTTAATTGAACAAGGGGGGGGGGGGGGGGTAAGTCTGATAATGGTGAGCTAGCAGGGGAGTAGATAGACTTTAAAAAAGATATCATAGACCTAACAGGATAAAACAAATGAGCTCACGCACGGGCAGGGTGGAGGGGGGATGTGTGTGTGTGTGGGGGGGGGGATGTGTGTGTGGGAGGGGGGGGGGATAGCCCAGGTTCTAGCCGGGTGATCTTCCGTTATCCTAACCGAAGCCGCAGTAGTGCCTCAAAGACCGGCAACCTTTGCAAGATGGAAACAATTCCTTCATGAGCTAGCCTCGTATCATTTTCTGCGGGCTTCGCCGAGTGGCTTAAAGGGATGACAGGCCAGACTTCTCCGGCTAAACATACCCTCCGCATTGCCTGTTTGTCATGTCCCTTTTTTTTTAAAAAGATTTTTTTTTTTCGTGTCTTGTCTTCGCTTTCTACTTTTGTCAGGCCTAATTGCAGAGATATTGATTTTTCCGCCTCAAGAACGAAGTGTAGAATGGCCTTCCATTGTGTCTTGTCTCTGGTGCCGTGACGCGGAGGCGACGCGGGGCATAAGGTGGCATCTCCGTCCAATCATGCCCGGGCAGATATTTCATCTTCGGTTCACGTGTGTAGACGCTATGAACCCAAGACAGCATTTCATTTACTTTTGATAGAAGGCGAGAGGGCAAGGGGAAGACACTCCCGTTTTTGTTTCTTTTTTGTTTCTTTTTTTTTTTTTTTGGCGAGGTAAAAATTGATAGTCTTTTTTTTCGACCCGGTAGGGAGGGGGGTAGGGAGGTAGGGAAGATTCAAATATTGAATAAAGCTTAGTATTTCTTATGGTCAAAATCAACTACTTCCCCAAAAAGCTTGTAAATCCAATCTCAGTGCCTAACAAGAAATGGATTTGAAACAAACCAAACGTAATGATAATTTTCTTCAAGGACAGGTAAAATGTAACATACAGCCTGTCACTGCTTCTGCCTAAAGTCGTGGTAGGACCTTATTGTATCCATCTAGCTCTGGTGACTTTGATCTTTGGGGCGTCCCTGAGTTTACCTATGATTTCTTTAGGCTGTAAGACGTCCCTACCTAGCTATGATTTCTTTAGGCTGTAAGACGTCCCTGAGTCTACCTATGATTTCTTTAGGCTGTAAGACGTCCCTGAGTCTACCTATGATGGCTTTAGGCTGTAAGACGTCCCTGAGTCTACCTATGATTTCTTTAGGCTGTAAGACGTCCCTGAGTCTACCTATGATGGCTTTAGGCTGTAAGACGTCCCTGAGTCTACATATGATGGCTTTAGGCTGTAAGACGTCCCTACCTAGCTCTGATGGCTTTAGGCTGTAAGACGTCCCTACCTAGCTCTGATTGCTTTAGGCTGTAAGACGTCCCTACCTAGCTCTGATGGCTTTAGGCTGTAAGACGTCCCTGAGTCTACCTATGATGGCTTTAGGCTGTAAGACGTCCCTACCTAGCTCTGATGGCTTTAGGCTGTAAGACGTCCCTACCTAGCTCTGATGGCTTTAGGCTGTAAGACGTCCCTACCTAGCTCTGATTGCTTTAGGCTGTAAGACGTCCCTACCTAGCTCTGATGGCTTTAGGCTGTAAGACGTCCCTGAGTCTACCTATGATGGCTTTAGGCTGTAAGACGTCCCTACCTAGCTCTGATGGCTTTAGGCTGTAAGACGTCCCTACCTAGCTCTGATGGCTTTAGGCTGTAAGACGTCCCTACCTAGCTCTGATTGCTTTAGGCTTTAAGACGTCCCTACCTAGCTCTGATTGCTTTAGGCTGTAAGACGTCCCTTCATAGAACTGATTGCTTAAGGCTGTAAGACGTCCCTACCTAGCTCTGATTGCTTTAGGCTGTAAGACGTCCCTAACTAGCTCTGATTGC